GCTGTATTAATAGCTTCCGCCCAAAAATGAATAGGTAATTTCGACTGGATCAACATACATCATGCCATCTCCACGAGTGTTCTGTTCATTCGCTCAGCCACTCCATTTTGCTGAGGTGTATGGGGAGTTGTAAATTCCCTGCGAATACCACAATTTTCCAATTCATTTGTGAACTCCTTTCCTAGATATTCTAAACCGTTGTCAGTCCTGAGGGTTTTTATCTTTTTTCCTGTTTGTCTTTCAATTAAAACCTTAAATTTTCAGAATGCGCTCTTAACCTCACTCTTTGTCTTGAGGATATACACGTATACTAACCTTGACGCGTCATCTATAAAGGTGGCAAAATACCTTGCTCCGCCTTCAGATGCTTGTTTTATGGGTCCACATACATCAGAATGTATCAGTTCCAATATTTCCAATTTTCTTAATTCGGACCTCTTTGGTATTGGGATTGCTGCCTGTTTGCCTTTTAAACATATTTCGCAAGCATTCATTTTACTTGATCTTATATCAGGTAGGCCGTTTACCATATTTTTATTTATCAATTTCCAAAGATCAGATTCGTTCAGGTGTCCGTATCGATAGTGCCAATCCATAAGTGTATTTTTGCTTTCACATACCATACCTTTGCGTCTATAATATACAAAATCCTTTTGCGACTTGCGGTAGTAACGATCTCATCCTTTTCTCCGAGTATTGTGGCCATTTTATTTGTGAACACGATTCTTTTTCCATTCGCTGTAACTTTTGACACCGAGATTAAATTTGCCTTTAGTTCTGGTACATACAATGTGTTTTCCAATCGGAATTTCTCTAGTTTGTCCCTTTTATAATTAAATAGTATTGCAGTACTCTTACCTTTGATCTCTGCCAATTTGTCATTTGCTAATCTTACCCTCTGATTCGTTATTGGCTCCATAGATTCAAAGCAGTTTATGTCACAGCACATGTGTGAGACGTCGCACCACTGTCAATGCACCATTCCTTTGGCAATTCCATGTTTGTATTCAATGAAATATCAGTAACAATGCTGTTACCCTGATTATCTTCATCCAGAATATTGGAGATCCGTAGGCATTGTTCAGTTTTGGGTACTTCAGGGACTTGTGCTAATCGAGCTTTATGGTCGTCATTTTTCTTTTTCAAACATTGATTTGCCTTATGTCCTCGTTTATGACAATAGAAACATTTAATGTGCTTTGCCTTATTAGCTTTAGTAAGTCCACTCTTATTCAAGGGAGTTTTATATTTGTCATACCTTTTGTATTTGCTTGAATCTTCCACTTGTAGAGCTTCCTGGTGATCACTTGCAGCATTCGAATTGCGACGAGAATTCGCTTCTTCTAATAATTTTGTCCTAAATGCATCCGGGGTAGGTAATTGATCCCGCGATTCGATTGCACATCTAAAGTTCTCATATGTATTCGGGATACTGTATAGTAATAGGATTGATTGCAGATCATCAGCGATTTCGATATCCATTTCCTTTAGTTTATCCACGTGGTTGAAAAAACTGTTTAAGTGATCGGACATAGTTTCATTACCGGACATTTTCGTGAATAATAATTGTTTCAGGAGCGTAGCCTTTCTTGCAGGTCCTTTGGATTCGTAGACCTCCTTTAATTTGTTCCATATTTCATGCGAAGTTTTACAATGCTTCACGAGGCATAGTTCACTCGAACTCATGGCGAGAATAATATCGGCTCGAGCTTTACCATCCTTTTTATCCCATAAAGTGGCTTCATCCGCTGCTTGGGGTTTACTTATTGTGCCATTCGCATATTCCCACAAGTCATCCTTAATGAGTACTGCCTTCATTTGCATTTTCCACGTGTCGTAATTTTCTCTATTGAGTTTTTCGATATTTGAACTCACGGCGCTTGACATTTTGTTATATTTTGTATTATTTTGATACCTATATTGTCACGTGAGCAATTGTTACGTATTCGATAAAACGGCCTTGTAGTATTCAACACTGAATCACCGACGACGTGCTCCTTTCTTTTTGTCCTTTCAGGTTATCTTCTGCGCTCCTTGATATTCTCACTATTTGTGATATTTTCAACAAAAATAATAACTAATTATTGAACCTGGGCCCATAACCTGTTTATTTGTTATTTTTATATTAGGAGGTAGGATCGCATTAGTTATTACTTCGTTATTCGGATAAAAAGACACCACGTTTCTCGGAGCAGAAAAACCTTTATTGTGCACACTCGGAAGGGACACGAATGAATGAATGACCGAGCGAAAGCGTCACAAGGAAGTCTTAAAAAAACTATCGATCAGGTCTATCGACCGCGTCTAGTAACACCCCCTAGTTACTTCTCTTGTAACTAGCCGTTGGCATATAGATGCCGAGCGAGAACTCACGTTGCCATTTTCAACAAATTTTAATTCAAATATGATTTTTTATAACCTTATAAATATAATTAGAGGCCATCATAAATCATACAGGGTGTATTCTCTAAGATTAATCACTATTTTTTAGACATTTTCGATAATCTGTCAAAAAAATGTTTTGAACTAAAATTCAATTTTCGATCCATTATACATTTGGATACTAAAAATTGTATATTATTACATATATATTTATTAAAGGTATTATAGTCTTCCAATAATATTTATATTGAAGATATAATATTATAGTTTAAATTCACTTAATAGTCAAAGAAGATATTTTTGTAAATACATTTATCATATTATATTTTCATTTGAATTTATTGTAGAGTAAATACACTTAGATATACTCATAACCCATAAAACAAATAAATTAACTGCTGCTATAATTAAATATAGGCATATTATTATTAAGTTACTTGATTTTATATAAATTTGATTTATTTGACAGAATATGAAAAATTAAAAGAATATATTTATATGAAATCATAAATAAATAGAAAATAAATTAATTTATTATCCTTATTTAATACATTACTTTATACAACACCATTTCTTAAAACATCTAATCTATTTAATTTGATAAATCCAGAATTATAAATCTATCAATCTGATAAGAATATTGTAGTTTTAATGACATATGATAAAAGTACATTGTGTATCATAACGAAAGTTAAGAATTCTATAAATCAGAAGTAATGATATCTATTTGCAGGAGAATCTTTCTCTACACTGTTGTTAGTTTATTGAAATACTAAGAAAACATCAGTAATTAAGGTTAAGTGATGTATTGTTTAAATATAAACATTAAATAAATTTTGATTTTATAATAGTTTCTAATATATACTAAACTTGGTACAAATTCTGTATTCTTAAAATTAATCGTTTTTTAAATTATCTGTTATTGTAGAAATACAACCTCACTTTCACTTTGTGACATTTAATCCATATGGTAACAACAGGTATTATTGCACGCGTAATAAATCGTATATATTTTAATAAACATAAATTAATAAGCAATGGAATCTTCTCAATTAAAAAATATTTTTAATATCAAATATGTGAAAAAATGCAGCGATGATATTCAATATGGAACAGCCGGCTTTAGAGCGAAGTATGTGATTATTTTATCTTATCAAGTTAATGAACTAACGTATTAATTTTTTATTTAATACCCTAGTTATATATAAATATATGTATATTATGTATATGTATATTCATTTTAATTAAATATTAATTTTATATAATTGTATCCAGAAATAATTGCTTGAAAAGATATTTTAACATTAATTTCTTTTCTTGTGATATTATCTATATTTGTATTAGAAAGCTTTTTCTAGCTGCAATTGTTTTGAAGTTATATATGCATATATGTTTTTAAAGCTATAAATATAGTTTTTACATAGTTCTTTAATTTATTATTAGGGCAAATGTTCTTGAACATGTTCTGTATAGAATGGGATTGCTAGCAGTATTGAGATCTAAAGTTAAAAATGGTAAGTTCATGCATAAAATTTATGAAACTATATTTTTGTAATTAAATTCTTTGTTTCGTATTATCCATATACTTTCCTTGTAAAATTGAATTAAAAATATCTGATTTTTCCATAGCTGCAATTGGTTTAATGATTACGGCAAGTCATAATATTGGGTCTGATAATGGTGTGAAACTTATAGATCCAGCTGGTGAAATGTTAGAAGCAGCTTGGGAACATATAGCTACCAACTTAGTTAATGTAGAAGATTCAAATTTAGTTTCTACAATAGAGCATATTATAAAAGAACAAAATGTTAACATGTCTACAAATGCAGTTGTAATAACTGGTAGAGACACTAGAGAAAGTAGTCCTACATTATTAAATGCTGCTCTTGCAGGAATTGAAGCCTTACGCGGATTTGTACAAGATTTTGGTATAGTTACAACCCCTCAGTTACATTACCTTGTTGTATGTACAAACACAAATGGTAGTTATGGCGATCCCACTTTATATGGTTATTATGTAAAGTTATCAGAAGCATTTAAATATATAAGACAAAATATGGTTAACAATGGACAGTATGTTGCAGAATTGTTATTAGATGCTGCTAACGGTGTTGGAGCTAATGCCATAAGAGAATTTCAAAATTACATAGGAACAGCAATTGCAATTAATGTATATAATGATGGAGATGGGAAATTAAACCACATGGTATATTTCCTAATTATAATATTTTGATTTAATTGAAGTTCGATATTGTAATATCTGTTTTGATCAATTCATTGTAGTGTGGAGCTGATTATGTGAAAGTACAACAAGTACCACCTATAAATTTTCCTCTCAAATCAAATGTTAGATGTGCATCCATAGATGGTGATGCAGATAGAATTATTTACTTCTACATGGATGAAGATAATAAATTTCATCTTTTGGATGGTGACCGAATAGCAACACTTATTGCTGAATATCTTAAAGAACTTTTACAAGAAAGTAATTTATCACTTCAACTTGGTTTAGTACAAACAGCATATGCTAATGGTAGTTCTACTGATTATATTTCAAATGTGCTAGTATGTATACTTATTTTTATTTGCTTTTAATGTTCTGAAATATTTTAGAAAGATACATAAATCATATATTGGATTTATATTTATATGTATTATTTCTATAATTATCATTTTAGCAAATTCCAGTTGCTTGTGTATCAACTGGTATTAAACATCTACATAATAAAGCACTAGAATTTGATATAGGAATATATTTTGAAGCAAATGGTCATGGAACTGTACTTTTTAAAGAAACTACTATTGAAACAATTAAGAAAGCTATCATAAATCCAGAGTAAGTTTTATTTAATCTATAGTAATGTTTGATATACCCTACTTTTTTTCTATTATTGCAATAACACGTAAATAGTGTAATTATTATATAACATGAATAAATATAAACTATCGTAAGTGAATATCTTTTGAATAGATTGAGATATTGAACTACTGTCTATTGGAATTTTTATGGCTTCACTTTTTATGGAATGGATATTGAACAATTATCTGTTGAAAGTTTTTAAAACTCTATTTCTTAAAAAGGCATTAAAAGTTTATAATAATTTTCATTTTCAAAACGCCTTTATCTGCCTATTAGTTTTTCTGTTGTTAAAAGATTAAGATTATCAAAATCTTTATTTTTTTCATTAAGAATACACATGTGTACACACGGATATACATATGTATATATATTACAGACAATCTACAAGTGAGAAAAGAGCTGCCTCGAAATTACTGAATATAATAAATGTAATTAATCAAACAGTTGGAGATGCTTTTAGTGATATGTTGCTAGTAGAGACAATTTTGCATGCGAAAGGCTGGGATATTATAGAATGGGAAAAAATGTACAAAGATTTACCAAATCAACAACTAAAAATAAAAATTAATGATAAAAATGTTATTACAACAACTAATGCAGGAAGACAATGTGTAACACCAGAAGGATTACAAAATGAAATTGATAAAGTAGTATCACAATATAAAAAAGGACGATCTTTTGTAAGGTAACATGTAATTTTTATTATAGCTATATATAAAAGTTGGTAAAATGTCTTATTAAACTGTTATTTTAAAACATCTTTCTATAAATATATATTATGAATAAACTTATAATATATCAATATTGACCCTTTAAAATTGGTAATTTAAAACATTTAAATAATAACATACTTGTTGGTTTATAATATAAATTATTTTTGTTAAAGTTAATATAGTTACAAATATTAATTTCATGAAATATTCTTTAGCTAACATGACTATTCTATTTATTTATTGTTTTATTTTTAGTACATAATAAATTGGGGATAATAAAAATGTACATAAATATTACGCGTCATACAAAACTATAGAATTTTATCTAATAAAAATCTTTTTACCTTTTACTATTTTATTTGCTGAAAGAAATAACTTGCTCCATTGTGTGGAGCATCTTATATAAATATATACAAAGCCAATTTAATTTATTTTGAAGAAACTATATGTTAAGACTTTTAATTCTTAGATATCATAAGAATACAAATATATGCATTTTATGTACATAACTAAATAAAGTTGTGCTAATGCATAAAATATTCAAATATTGGGTTGTCAAATAAGTCTTGTATGGTATAATCTTACATAGTAAGTTATGTTGTAAAGTATACAAATCTTATATAGTAGGATTAAGTCTTAATATAAGCTTCATTCTAACACCTTGCAATAAATATAATTAAACTAAATATGCACCATTCTGTTCAATAATCTCCTGCCATCTACTGGGCAGTGCCATTACTATGGCAAATTCATATAGGATTTCTGTTATCTCTGAGCAAAAACGTGACCTTGGAAAGGTTTAAGACTTATCCAATAATTCAATAATATTCACAGTATTAATTAGAAAAATTTTTATTTTTAGACCGTCAGGAACTGAAGACATAGTACGAGTATATGCAGAATGTGAAAATTTATGCGACCTTAATAAATTAATTACAGATGTGGCATTGTTAGTCTACGATCGTGCAGGTGGAATTGGACCTAAACCTCAACTTTCCTAGTAAATAGTTATAGTTTTTCATTATTTGCTATACATATACATATATATCAATTTCATTTATATTAGTGTACAAGTCTTAAGAATTATAATTTATATAAATTGTACGTTAGTTGAGGGTATTATATTTTATATGAATAATAAATTATATATATATACAATATTATATACATATCATATATATATTACGTAACAGACACTACGATTTTTCAGGCACTTACGACAGTCTGATGAAGAAATGTTTTGAATGAAAATTAATTAGCTTACAATCGACTACAAATTGCAATGTAAAAGATTTCCAAGAAGTTGATTTTTCGATAGAAAGTCAAGGTCACCTTGGCTTTTTTATGACATTTGTATTTTTGGCTTCATACCGTTATAAATGATGTTAAAATGAGTTCAATGATTTATTACGTTATGATCTTAAAAATAAAAATTATTTTATTTCGATAAAATCACACGTTTCCAAATGTGTAATTTGATAATTTGTGAGCTTCAACAAGAAAAATCATACACACATTACAAAAAGACCATAAACAGCGTACAAAAATAAAAATATTTTGTCTAGTATATTATTAAACGTTTGTAAAACTTTAGTTGGGCATCTATGAATCTATACCTTGATCACTTTGGTTACCTGATTTGTCCTTATTAGATTCTTTTTGTTTATAGTCGGTGATCTACAGTTTACGCTGTATTCAAAACCTTATATACCTAAAGCAACGAATCCGTGCAGCATGTCCACGCACAAGATATTCGTAATGACAAGATTGTAATAACAATCAATACAAATTTATTGCATTGTTCGGAACTGTGCTCTTAAAATTATGAGCTATAATTCGAGCATTTATTATAATTGAATGCACAAAGATACCATAATACTACATGAGCTATGTTTATTTCTGTAAGCTGTTTATGCTTTTTTTTGTAATATACTGATTAACATTTTTCTTATTGAAGCTCACCATTTTTAAATATATAATTTGATTAAAATAACGTAATTTTTATTTTAAAGTTATAATATAATAAGTTGTTGAATTCATTTTAACATCATTTATAACGGTTAGAAGTAAAAATACATAATTTCATTTAAAAAAAGACAAACTGATTATGACTTTCTATTGAAAAAACAATTTTTTGGAAATTTCTTGTATTGCAATTTCTAGCCGATTGAAAGTCGATTAACTTTTATTTAAACCATTTCTTCGTCAGACTATAGTAAGTGCCTGAAAAATCGTGGTGATTATTAGGTGGTACAGCCTGTATATGTATATACACACATATCATATATACAGAACAGAGTATTAGTAATATTGTACACCTTGATTTTATAACTTTGTAATACAATAAATGTTGTACCTAATATATTGTAATATATCCAGAAATTATATTTTTAATATAAATAAACATATATATTTACATATCTATGTAAAAAATCAGTTGTCATAATTTTATATCACAAAGAAATATTTATCCTTTGTCCTTTAACCTCTTAGGTACGATGCTCCACTATAGTGGCTTTCGCGGATTTCATATTATATTCATCTGTCTTGCTTCACACTTTTTTTATCCTCGCAATATTTTATAACAGTGTTAACAATATACATTCAGAATATGTAGTCTTTGTTTTTGATACGCCAGTGTCAGATGTCAATTGTTGCTTTCCGTTAAAATAAATATACCATTATTAGAAGTTTTAACATGTCGATCCGAATTCTTATAATTTTTTAGAATCTTGAACCTCAAAATACTGCTACAAAATAGAAGAAGAAGAGCAATTTGCTACAATTCAGAAACAGATTCAGATCACTATAATATACAAAATATGAAATCAAAAAATTGAAAGTTTTGGGCTTGAATATAATTTTTTATAAAATTGATTATGATATTTGTTAATATTTCGTCAAGCTACCTTAGATTTAACAAAAAATCATCGTTCTACATTAATTTAAAAAACTACTGCTGAGATAATATAGGTCCCAACAGCTTTAAGACGCAATTTCAATTTCAGACCTGTTTGCAGACGTCACCGCATTCGGTCATAATCCCCACTCCACAGTTGTACCTACGTCCTTATACCAGAATTTTATAATTTTTATTAAAGCACAATCGACATTTTTTTCTGTAAACTCAATATGTTTCTTTCTATAATATATTTTTCGCATCTTTATTTCTTTGAACAATGACGCTTATCTTATCACGAGTTTGAGACGCATACATCGCGTTTCTAATGACCTTCCATTACCTTACTTCATTTTCTACCTGCAACAATAAGTTTGATTAGACGTCTCCGTTAGATCCGATTAACACAAGTAATAAATTAATTTACTCAGAAACCTTTCCGAACAAATAGCGTTTCATGACAGTGGCTTCATATCTAATCAAATGATAAAAATTAATATATCAATCAGCAAGCAATAAATTATGTGAATCGTCGTTAGAAAAGCTTCATGAATCTGTTTAAATTTGCTTCTCACAAACAATCAATTACTCGATAACAATCGAGAAAGATTTTTTCATTAATCAAAATCCAGATCTTAATAGCTTTATATTTCACATTTTAAATTTTACCGAATTTATACCGAATATCTAAATATAAAATAATATGGTATAAAAATAACATGGAATTACGATAAATAATATAGTAAAATACAAACTATACATTATTCGAAAATAGTTTTTCAGATAGAACTTGTCCTATTTCGAGAGGGACATCTGCCGATGATTTTGTCTTTGTTTTTCTAAATGATACAATACATTTTTTAGATGCCATTCAATGCAGTTTTTAATTATTCTCTAAAGAAGAGTATACAGGTACTTGATTCGACTGATTATTAGTTTTGTAGCAGCACATGAGTAAACGGAAAATTTGAAACGAGAGTGACTTATATTATTGTACCTTGGAATATCAACGTTGTTTTGGTTTGAAAGATCTTTTTTTTTATATTTATGTGGTGGAAATCCGTACGGACGCCAGGCCGCTTCTGGGGTAAGCCCCCCCCCCCCC